CTAAGTAAAGCTTTAAATTTGAATCATCGAATACAAGTTGTAAAAATATGTATGTGTCTGCATACTAGTTTTTTGATTAGCTATATGCAGTGCTTCTTCTAAATATATTTTGTTAAAAAAAAAGTTTGCCTATAAGCTGATCAAGTTGAATAAATGATTAACTTTCTCTAATAACTGACTACATTTCCCCCCAACAAGAAATAAATGTTATTTGATAACATTTTGGAAATTATACTTCTACAGGATGTACAGTCCTGTGTATACTAATTATACTAGTTTTTCTTGGTGTTTTATTGAAAAGTAATTGACATCCATCACTATGTATGTTGAAGGCATACGGCGTGATGGTGTGTTCAGCTAACACCCATCTCATAGAGACAATAAAAAGAAAATAGAGAAGGAAGGACAAAAAGAATCATACTTTTCTCTGGAAAGCATCCATTCTGCCCATAAATGATGCGACAATTAAGATGGTTAGAATTGTTTCAGAAGCAAAACGTGTGAACCGAACGGATTTTAGCTGGGGAAAAGCTGATGTTTTATATAAGGAAAGCAAAAGACAAAGTTAAGTCTATTCCCTGTTGGTGGTGATCTAAATAAAGCTGTCTACTGAGCCAGTCAAGATGAAAAGCGAGTAAAAAATTCAGTAAGTAAATGCTTAGTGTCAAGAACTGTGAAGATTTGAGATTCCACCCTCCTTGCGAGCTAACGAGTTCGCCGCCGTTGCTTTCTGGGTGCTAGGTGGCACCAGACTCCTGGGTCAGAGAAGAAGGACCTCGTTATTCAGAGCCGCTGCGGGGTCCACAGCTTCATGGTTTTCTCCTCCTGCCTCCCTGACCCCCAGTTCTCACGGGATGGTGCAGAGAGGGCCAGGTGGCACCAGGGCATGTGGAGAGGAGCGAGCCCAGGGAACCCACACCTTTTATAATGGGTGGTACTCATAGAGGCTTTATCCTCCGAGGCTGTTCACGGCACGTCCTTGAGAAGATAATCCCGAACAAAGGCAGTCTGTTCTGCTCCCAGGAGACCCCCAAACCAGCACAGAGACCCCTGGGGAACTGTCTCTGCAAAATCTGATCATCTGAAGTTGTTCATCTGACTAAATATTAAATTGCAATTATTGCCCTGGCCGGTTTGGCTCAGCGGTTAGAGCATCCGCCTGCGGTCCGGAGAGACCTGGGTTCGGTTCCCGCTAAGGGCATGTACCTCGGTTGCAGTTTGTCCCCGGCCCTGGTTGGTCGTGCGGGTGGCAGCCACTCGATGTGTCTCTTTCATGTCGATGTTTTTCTCTCTCTCTCTCTCTTTCTCTCTCTCCCTCCCACTCGTCTGTGCAAAAAATGGAAAAATGTCCTCGGGTGAGGATAAAAAATAAATAAATAAATAAATAAATTGCAATTATTAAATTTGCATCTTAATGAAAACTAAAACCATTTATTAAATATTAAATTGCATCACTGAGTCACTCATGATGCCCAGCCAGTGTGGCTCAATGGACTGAGCATCGTCCCATGGACTGTGAGATCCTGGTTCAATTCCCGGTCAGAGTCTATACCTGGGTTGCAGGCTCGATCCCCAGTAGGGGGTGTGCAGGAGGCAGCCAATTGATGTTTCTCTCTCCCATCGATGTTTTATCTCTCTCCCCCTTCCTCTCTCTCTAAAATAAAGTCACTTATGATAAACAGCTTGTAGTTCTCACATCACATCCTGTCCATGCTGGGGTCTTACCTGTCGATGCCTCAGTTTGACCGTTTTGGAAAATGAACAGGGATGGTGCCGGATCACAGGGTTGTTGCCAACAATGCACGAGCGCGTGTACGCACAGCCCTTCGAGCAGCTCCCGGCGTGCAGCGTGTCTGAAACAGAATGTGTTCGTGGTGTTGTGAGTGACTCAACATTCGTCTTTTATAATGAGCCGATTTGATAGAGTTTTTCCCACGGCAGCCGAGGATGCTGGGAAGTCTCCCAGCCGTCGGAGCTGGCCAGCTCTCTCACTGGGGGCTGACCTACATACCCCAGATCTCCCGGGGGCTGGCCGCTGTCCTGCTCCATTGCCCGCGGTGCTGGGCACTTGACAGCTGTGTGGGCAAACATGGGGCCTAATGAGGCTTTTTTTTTTTTGCCTTGAGTGGTTCTCGGGCAAATACACCCGTGCCTGTCACACTCAGGCCGTGCCGTGTGGCATGTTCGCTCCAAGTTCCTAATCCGTGTGGAAAGCCCAGTTCTCGCCATTTCCGACGAGCCTCGCTTCGCTGTCCGGCCCCCCCGCTCTGGGCAGGCAGAGGCGGCCGCGGCCCTGGACACTGAACGCGCTTTCTGAGGCAGAAACCACGAGTGTTTCTTCACAGAGGCAGTGTGCCCAGTTCTGTTCAGACGGCGGGCATCGGAGGGAGGGGTGTGAGTGGGGGTCCCGTCCAGGTACGTTCGTTGGGTTTTTATTTTGATTCATGCAGCCGCAACCCTTGTCTGCTGAACGTAACTGAGGGGCTCCCGCTCACAGCCCCGCCTCGGGGGTCGTCTGGACGGTCATCTGACAGCTGAGGGACAGATGACTTGAGGATGTTTAAGGAGGCCTGGTCTTATTTCCCAACTGCTAAGTAGTTGGGGAGGAGATTCGTATGGGTGGACTCATCAGTGTTTCCAGAGTTCAGAGATCACCCCTCCCAGCCCTTCAGAAAGCTCAGGTCCAGTGACACACCCAGGTAGGTGCCAAGCCTGAGCAGTCGGGATTCCTCGCTGTCAGTCACGTGTGCTTGCATGACACTGCCGGAGAGAGGAGACGGGAAAGGAGCCTTTGGGACGAAGGTGTTAGGGCTTTCTTGAGAGAGACTCTAGGGCTACACCTTGGGCTCCGCAGCCAGGTCACCTGGATGCACACCTTGTCTCTGCTTGGGTAACAGGAGGTCTCTTTCTGTGTAGGAGCAGTACCTGCTGTGCAGGGCTGCTGTGAGCCCTGAGCCCAGTGACTCGGTCTGTGCGCCCCCCCTCCCCGTTGCTGCAGATTTGGGGGAGCACACAGCTCCAGGCACGAACCGCCGTGGGGAGGGACTTAGCGTCTGAGCAAGCTCACTGTGAAGGGCACGTCTCACACCTCGTAACAAAAGGAGCTCTTCCCTTCAAAGGTGATTTTAGGTGTACGCGTCTATTTTTAATAGCGCTCGGAGAACGGTAAAATGAAAGCCTAACGATGGCTTCAGTAGAGGCGACCTCGGAGCCACAGAAACGAAACTGGCTTCCCCTTTGGAAGAAATAATCACGGGTGTTTGCGTGTGGCTGGCTCACTGTCTGAAGCACTTCCGTGGAGAAAGCTCTGTCCCCAAGGCTCGGGTCCCCGCGTGCGCCGTCCGAGCAGGGAGGCGGGACACTTCCTGCCGCGGCTCTTTCTGTGGCGACAGAGAAGCAGCGCCCCCACCCCTCTTGATGTGACAAGAGCTTGCCGGCGTGAGGCTCCCCGGTGGGACACGGGACACGTGGAAGTCGGTGTCCTTGACCACATCCACGGCATGTGCACTGGACAGGGACCCCCACTTCTAGGACCTCTGATGAAAGCTGGTGACGAATGCCAGATGTCTCCCGGTGACCAGATATGGCCACACGGCCACTGTGCGGTGGGCTCACTAGATCCGGGGGGTGGGGGTGTCCACACCCACTTTCCAGTACAGTAACGGCTTCCCCGTGCGTCGTGTCAGAGGGTCTGCTAACCTGTGGTAATTAGACATCGGCAAAGAACTGGCCCTGTGATTATGGGCAGACCTGACCTACGAGACGGCTACCTGAGGACCCCGAAATCTCCAGTCTGTGAGCATCTGAGTTGGGGAGCGAGACCAGCAGCGTGCACGTGTGATGCTTGGTCAGATTTCCGGGGAGAGTGAAAGCAATTGTGCGGGTCTCTGACTCACACTGTGGTTCTGCTTTGCGGCATTTGGGTGCAGGGCCTGCAGTGACCACACTGGCCCCTGCCTTTGGAAGGGGCGGTCTCCTCTCTGACATCAGGGAGGTCAGTGCACCAGGAGCCCCTTTGTTTCAAAATCTTTTTACTGTCCGAAATGCTAGTGAATTCGTTGTCAACTCCATGATAACTTTGGGGAGAACTACGCCCAGCAAAGTGTCTTTCAGGATCACGTGCACCATCCAAAATATGTCAAAGCTGCAGTAGCGTGAGCCCTTGAGAACACGCGCGGCCCCACCACGTGTCTGCCTGCAGACCCCCCTTGTGTCTGCCTACAGCCCCCCACCTGTCTGCCTACAGACCCCACCTGTCTACCTGCAGAGCCCCCTTGTGTCTGCCTACAGACCCCACCTGTCTACCTGCAGCCCCCCACGTGTCTGCCTGCAGAGCCCCCTTGTGTCTGCCTGCAGACCCCACCTGTCTGCCTGCAGCCCCCATGGGTCTGCCTGCAGCTCCCCCACCTGTCTGCCCGCAGCCCCCCACCTGTCCGCCCGCGGCCCCACCACGTGTCTGCCTACGGACCCCCCTTGTGTCTGCCTACAGACCCCCCTTGTGTCTGCCTACAGCCCCCATGGGTCTGCCTGCAGCTCCCCCACCTGTCTGCCTGCAGCCCCCCACCTGTCTGCCTACAGACCCCACCTGTCTGCCTACAGACCCCACCTGTCTGCCCACAGACCCCACCTGTCTGCCCGCAGCCCCCCACCTGTCTGCCTGCAGCCCCCCACCTGTCTGCCTGCAGCCCCCCACCTGTCTGCCTGCAGCCCCCATGGGTCTGCCTGTAGCTCCCCCACCTGTCTGCCTGCAGCCCCCCACCTGTCTGCCTGCAGCCCCCCACCTGTCTACCTGAAGCCCCCCACCTGTCTGCCTGCAGCCCCCCACCTGTCTGCCCGCAGTTCCCCCCACCTGTCTGCCTGCAGCCCCCCACCTGTCTGCCCGCAGCCCCCCACCTGTCTGCCTGCAAACCCCCACATCTGCCTGCAGCCCCCCACCTGTCTGCCTGCAGCCCCCCACCTGTCTGCCTGCAGCACTGACGAGCCACGCTTCCTGTCTCCAGGATGACGCCCCTGCAGTGGCGGCTGCTGTGGCTGCTGCTCCCCCTCAGCTCCCGGGCCCAGAAGCTCCCCACTCGCGACGAGCAGCTCTTCCAGATGCAGATCCGGGACAAGGCGTCCTTCCACCTCTCGTCGGTGCTTCCGGACGGGGCTGAAATCAGCAGCTATCTCTTCAGAGACACACCGAAGAGGTACGCTCCCAAGAGCCCTTTTAAAATTATTATTATTATTGTTGGTTTCTTAGCGAGAGGAAGGGAGAGAGAAACATCAGTCGGCTGCCTCCTGCACGCCCCCCACTGGGCATCTAGCCTGCCACCCAGGCAGGTGCCCTGATGAGGACTCGAACCAGGACCTCTCGGGACATGGGACGATGCTCAGTCCACTGAGCCACACCGGCACGTGGACAGCCTTGTCTTCATGAGCAAGGTCATCAGGGACGCCTCCAGAGAGTCCCTTTTCCACTGAGCATTGATCCTTTGCAGGGGACCTCTGACGGCACTGCCTGCTTTCTCCAAGGGGAGAGACGGCGGAGCCCTCCCAAACCTCACGTGGACGCTGGCTCTCGCTCACTGTGACCTTGGGGTGCGGCGCGTAACTTTGGCATTTCTTACATTTTGGAATGACTTCTTTTGTTTCTTCATGACAGAGGGAAATTGCTAAGAAGGACTCTGTAGGATTAAAACGAAACCCATTGAATACACGTGCTGCTTCGAAGGCTGGCATTTATTCTTGGAAAAATAGTGTTTCTTTGACCAGTGTGACCAGATTCTGGAAGAATCAACCTGAACAGTGATAAGAACAGACACTGTTCATTCACCTTCCCGCCAGCATGAACAGACCAGGCTCCCATAACATTTCTAAATGTTTCTCCTTTAAAAGGGACGTGCATGTTATATAATTAAGCACACATGTCTATGTCTTCCATAGAAACTGGTTCTATGTAAAGTTAGTCACTTTGCAGTGCTGGGACCCCGCTCAACCACATTTCAGACAGTTTCTCCTGTTAACCTGGGACACTGGCATTCTGAAGGGACACCGTGTCACGCCTCCACTGTGCGGAGAGGGAGGCGCATCACACCGTTGGGTCACCTTGCTCGTGTCCCTTCTGGAAGGATTGGCAGTGATAATGGGAGGTGGCTGCCTGCCACCATGGCCCCCACATCCCCCATCTGGTCAGCAAGTGGCAGCTGGGGACCAGGGTTCCTATCCTGATGGACGGGACCTCTGCTTTGAGCACCGTTTCAGCCTGCCTGAACGAAGTTGTCTGTTTGGATGAAAGTGATAGAGCCGGAACCGACTCGTCAGGAATATGTAAAATAATCACACATCTTTCAGTGGCATCCGTAAGAGCGAGGGCCCAGGACACAGGACAGAAGGACCTGATGTCCTTCCGCTCACCGAGGCTCCGTCGGTGGGCACGGGAAGAGGGCGGAGGAGGTGGTCAGCGTTCCGCTGAAAGATCGCAGCTGAATCCATGCCGGACGCATTTGCTTTCCATGGCGTTTTGTCTGGAAGTTTTTGACTCGATCAAAATGTTTCTTTTAAAATGACGATGATGTCCCAAAGGTACAGGTGCCCCGCTCTGCAGTGTTCTTTAAACACAGCTTTTCACACGGTTACTCAGCGCTGAATCAGGTGAGTGGCTTGGCCATAATCCTGGTCTCGGCATTCAGTGAGTTTGGTGCATAGAATCACCAGGTTTATGGGGAACACTCTACCTGTAGGTCAGCACACTGGAAACTACTCTTGGTGAATTTACTTTGCAATGGCAGGGCCTCTGTTAAGTAACACCCCAAAACAGGTAAGCGTTGATTCTCCACTCAGGTAACACCCATAGTACATGTTATAGTTCAGCATCATTTTATTATTTCGCACCGTGTTCTTGGTAAATCTGGTTGCAGACTTTGGGTCATGGGACAGCCACCGTCACTGCATAAGGCATCGTGATTTGTGTCAAGTGGCCAGTTTTGGTCTCTGCTAAATGAGTGAAAGTTAAACCACGTGGTTTCCCCAGCAGGTCTTGGCTGTGCGTGTCAGCAGGAAGCCCGTCGGTCTGAATGGGTCCCCTTTCCCACAGGTACTTCTTCGTGGTGGAGGAAGACAACACACCGCTGTCGGTGACGGTGACTCCCTGCGACACGCCCCTGGAGTGGAAGCTGAGCCTGCAGGAGCTGCCCGAGGAGGCGAGTGGGGAGAGCTCAGGTGAGGGGGACCGCGGCCGGGGCGGGAAGGCTTACGAAACGCGCAGCCTCCCGCTCATGAGAGAGTCAGACGGAGGACGGGCGAAGAGGGGTTTCTCCGCAGAGATGGGGGACGGATGGCATCGGGCGGTGGTGATCTTGGTAAATAACAGGTTAGGGGAGGCGGGCGGCGGGGCGAAGGCCGGGGGAAAGGTCACGGTGGGACGCACCTCTCTGGCTGTGGTTTGCAGACCTGCCTGAGTGTTGGAGTCAGCCCCGGGCTTTCAAGAGCACTGCTGCCTGGGTTCCGTCCCCCGAGGGTCCTGCCGAATCGCTCCGGGGCGGGCTGGGGCGCAGACGCTTACCGGCTCCCCCTGATGCTGACCTGCAGCCAAGGCCAAGAGCCTCCGGTCTCTGGGGAATAAGGGCGGGACCCAGGGGAAAAGTAAAGAGGCACTTAGCACCCTGAGTGTAGGGCGAGAAGAAAGGCACCGGAGGCCTGGGGCCGGCGTTTGAAGAAGGTGCCAGTGATGGAAAGCAAGTAACATACAAGGAAATGAGAGTCTGCGGAGGCCTGGGATGGTGCCGCCCCCTGGGATGGTGCCGGCCCCCGGGATGGTGCCGGCCCCGGGATGGTGCCGCCCCCAGGGATGGTGCTGCCCCCTGGGATGGTGCCGGCCCCGGGATGGTGCCGCCCCCAGGGATGGTGCTGCCCCCTGGGATGGTGCTGCCCCCGGGATGGTGCTGCCCCCTGGGATGGTGCCGCCCCCAGGGATGGTGCCGCCCCCCGGGATGGTGCCGCCCCCAGGGATGGTGCCGCCCCCCGGGATGGTGCCGCCCCCTGGGATGGTGCTGCCCCCAGGGATGGTGCCGCCCCCTGGGATGGTGCCGCCCCCCGGGATGGTGCCGCCCCCTGGGATGGTGCTGCCCCCTGGGAGGGCAGGGGGCGAGGGCAGCTCCTAATTAGGAGGATGGACGAATGGGGGTGAGGAGCCTGAGAGGAAGTGAAGAGTCCTGTGAGGCCTATTGATCGTGTGGTTTAAATACGAAATCCGTATGCCTCCCTGTCCACCTGTAGGGATGAGCCGGAAGAGGTAGGTTCCCGCCGGGCCCCCCAGTCCTTCACCGGGTCCCCTAAACGCATGTCTACTCTGGTCTCTGTGGGATCGCTGGTATTTACAGTAGCAAAAGAGGGGAAGAAGCTGTTTTCAGTACTTTCTCTACGTCACCCCTGGACACGTGTTCCAGCCTTTGAAGATTGGGGGGGCTCTTCCTGGTGCTTTGCAGTCCCTGTTTTAGGGAGACTGTCCAGCCCTCCTGACAGTGGGCTTAGCGAAGGCCGGCCGTCCTCACGCGGCTGGTGGACGCCGCTCGGAAGCAGGTGACAGGAGGGGTTCATCTAAAAGGACTGCAGTCTTTGACCTAAAAATTCCACTAATTGGAGTCTCTCCTGAAGAAAGAATTTAAAAGCAGAACAGCCTTACACATGTATAACAGCTCTATTTATAATGGTCAAAAGTTGACTAACAGTATTATTTTTATGCTATAATCTTAAGTGAGAAAAATAAGATTCAAAATTGGAGAGATATATATATATATAAATGTTATTAAGTTACAAAGAAAAATGCAGGTGAATACTGTCAATTGCATAAAAATATGTAAAAAAAAAAAAAAAAAAAAAAAAGACTGGATGGAAATAAACCAAAATCTTCCTAAAGAGCTGTCTCTGGATCATGACTGTGGTTGATTTATTTTTTTTAATCCTCACCTGAGGATATGCCTTTTTCATTTTTCTAGAGCGATGTGAGAGAGAAACATTGATCAGTTGCCTCCTGTATGTGCCCCAACCAGGAATCAAACCAGCAACCCGTGTAGGTGCCCTGCCCGGAGATCGAACAGCCTTCGGGTATACGGGACAGTGCTCCAACCAGTGAGCACCTGGCCAGGGCAGTCTCTTCCATCCGGCTCTGTGTCCAGTGTCCTGCGGGGACAGCATCACTTTGATGGTGGGGAAGGACGCAGGCAGACAAGCCCCCACAGCCTGGGCCCTGATGTCCCTCTGCTTTCTGTCCCCCAGGGGAGCCGGAGCCCCTGGAGCAGCAGAAGCAGGTCACCAGTGAGGAAGCCACGGAGCTGCTGTCCTACAAAGGCAACGACGTGGAGTCCTTCGTGTCCTCCAGCGCCCCCGCTGGGTTGTACCAGCTGGAGCTCCTGTCCACCGAGAAGGACACGCACTTCAAAGTCTATGCCACCACCACGCCGGAGTCCGACCAGCCCTACCCGGAGCTACCCTACGACCCCAGAGTGGACGTCACCTCCCTGGGGCGCACCACGGTCACTCTGGCCTGGAAGCCGAGCCCCACGGCCTCTTTGCTGAGGCAGCCCATTCAGTACTGCGTGGTCGTCAACCGAGAGCACAACTTCAAGAGCCTGTGCGCCGTGGAGGCGAAGCTGAGCGTGGACGACGCCTTCATGACGGCGCCGAAGCCGGGCCTGGACTTCAGCCCCTTCGACTTCGCCCACTTCGGCTTCCCGTCGGGGAATTCGGGCAAAGAGCGCAGCCTCCTGGCCAAGCTGCCCCCGAAGCCGGGCCGCCCCGTCCACGCGCGGCCCAAGCCGGACATCCAGAAGCTCTGCATAGGGAACAAGAACATCTTCACCGTCTCGGACCTGAAGCCCGACACGCAGTACTACTTCGACGTCTTCGTGGCCAACAGCCGCAGCAACACGAGCACCGCCTACGTGGGCACCTTCGCCAGGACCAGGGAGGAGGCCAAGCAGAAGACGGTGGAGCTGAAAGACGGCAGGGTGACGGACGTCTTCGTGAAGAGGAAGGGAGCCAAGTTTCTACGGTTCGCTCCCGTCTCCTCGCACCAGAAGGTCACCTTCTTCGTCCACTCGTGTCTGGACGCTGTGCAGATCCAGGTGAGGCGAGATGGGAAGCTGGTTCTGTCCCAGAACGTGGAAGGCATTCGGCAGTTCCTGCTCCGGGGCAGGCCCAAGGCCAAGTATCTGGTCCGGCTGAAGGGGAACAAGAAGGGGGCGTCCATGCTGAAAGTCCTGGCCAGCACACGGCCCAGCAAGCACACCTTCCCCGCCCTGCCCGAGGACACGCGGGTCAAAGCCTTCGACAGGCTCCGCACCTGCTCCTCGGCCACCGTGGCCTGGCTGGGCACCCAGGAGAGGAACAAGTTTTGCATCTACAAGAGGGAAGTGGATGACAGCTACAACGACGAGCAGAAGAGAAGAGAGCAGAATCAGTGTCTGGGGCCAGACACGAGGAAGAAGTCAGAGAAGGTCCTGTGTAAATACTTCCACAGTCAGAACCCGCAGAAGGCGGTGACCACAGAAACGGTTAAGGGTCTCCAGCCTGGGAAAGCTTACCTGCTGGATGTTTATGTCATAGGACACGGGGGCCACTCCGTGAAGTACCAGAGCAAAGTCGTGAAAACCAGGAAGTTCTGTTAGTGACCCGGCGTGCAGGGGTGTCACGCAGACCTCCAGGAGAGACGGTGAGCACCCCGCACAGAGACCCCGGGGCCTGTACTTGTTCTGTGGACGCACCGTGTCAGCGTGTGTCTGTGGATGCTGGCAGTCACTGTTGGAGGAGACTCGGTCTCGTGGGTACCTGGTGTCACAGACAGGACATCACAAATGAACTGCCTGCCGTCCCTTGCTTTGACCACTGCATGAACTGCTTCTAAATTATTTTATTACCTAGAAGTTTAAAATATGCCATTCATTGCACACATCCAGAAAATGCCAACCATTCCTCTCTGTAGGTGCTAGGATATATCTATATAAATTATTTTATAAAGTCTTGTTTTAAATGTCAGTGTTTCTATGATCGTCAACTATTACACCCTTTTCCTGCTAAAGTACAGATCGAATCTGAGTATCTGAAGTGGACAGTCCGCTAGCCAGTGATACTGTAAATTCTTATCTGTTGAGTCAAGTGTTTAAATGCTGAATGTATCTCATGTACAAAGTTGACACGTTATATTCATGTACATACAATTAAAGATATTAGATTCTATTCTGCATTTTCCCAAGCAGCTACGTTGGTGCATTCAATTAATATTCTGTTGCACCTTGATGTACTTTGGCGCCGGGACTGACCCTTTTTTGATAGGTAAGGGACACGCTGCCTCTCCTGGATGTTACCTGGCAGCAGAGACGGTTCGTCCAGTTGGTGTTTGACATTAAACAGCTGGCTGTCCTGAGACGTGACAGCTCCTGTGGACTTGTTTTCACAGACTAGAAAGAGAAACACTGTAGCTCCCCGTGCCCAACAGGTCGTCCTTAACCCAAACCCCACCGCCTCTATTTTAAAACGAAGTGTCTATTCCAAGTACAAAATTGGGACACTTCCAAGTGTTTTCCACGCCGCTGTGATTAGCAATGCGTTAAATGACGGGAGCTGCCGCTCTGTGATGTTAACAGTCTGATACTTTCCACTTTGCTTTGTTATGCGTTTTTACAGCGTAATTGAGGGGCTAAGACAGAACTGAAGTCACCGGCGACAGCGACCACGTACCGGGCTGCAGGAAGGCCAGCCCGGGTCCTTCCATTCTCCACAGGTTCTGTTCGGGAGGTGTCAGGAGAACCCTGGAGCAGGATTCAGAATGGAGCTTACAGTCCCCTGAGCTATGTGACTTCAGGAAAACCGGTCACTGTCCGTTGTCCCCTTTCCCATGTATAAAACTAGGTGGCGACAGGTTTGGGGAAGATGACATTATAGGATACCTTCTGTCATAAGACCTTGTCTTTGGTAGAATGCTGTGATTCTCAATTACTAAGGGTTTCTGGAGCGTCACGTGGGGACAGGTGTAGCCCTTAGCCTCCCACTGTCCCAGACATGCTGGCCCTACCTCCCCGTGGGGGCGGGCCCAGGGGCGTCCCCGTGGAGTGCAGATCCCATGGCCCAGCTGATGCAAGTGGCGGCTCTATGCAGGTGCTCTGCCCCCTTAGGAGAATAGGTCCCCGTGCCCGTGCACCGTGAGCTCGTCAGTTCAGTCACATCTGTCTGTCCCCAACAGCAGCGACATCTGAAGTGAGGTTTTACAAGAACGTGTATGTCACAAACCAAGGAAAGCTTTGTTGGTCAACAGTCAACCTTTAAGACTGACCACGTCCCGGAGTTTTTTCCTCCTATGCTGCAAACACCTTTGGAAGGAGAGTCCACTTTCTCCTGGTGCTCACAGCAGACTCCTACACCACGACGGGGGAAGTTCGCCGCGGTCAAGCGGCAACATGAGCTTCCGGGGGTGGGGACCTCCCCGACGCCATCCCTGGAACCTGGCCACATTGTCCAGCCAAGCTGTGACTCAGCCAGCTGTGCTGGTGGGTTCCACCTCCTCTGGATAAACCCGGGAGTTCTTTCATGCCCCAGTGAAACGTGCCTTTTAAAAATTCCAGGAAAATCAAAGGCACGTTGTGACACTTCTGTCACTCACAAAGACAGAGGAGAGAAATTATGGAAAATAGAGCCCCTGATTTAGTAATGTGTTTAGGTTGAGGACCATCCAGGTGAACTGGGGACGAGAAGGAAAACTGGGTCGTAATGAACAGAACTCGGGAGTGGCTGGTGGGAAAGGACCTCGTGTCCGCCAAGCTCCGGGCGTCGCTGAGAGCAGGTGTCTGCAGCCTGTGAGGACAGCCAGCGCGTCACCGAGGGCCGCTGTCTGGGCACCGCAGTCCGGGAGCACTGTCTTCGCCCGTCAGGTGCAAACGGAAGTTGGAGACCAGAGACATAGAATAGAGTTCGCATAGTCAAAACAGACAAGTGTTGGAGTTGCCGGGACTTCAAAACTTCCAAGTCCTTACCGGAGTACAAATCACCGATTTTTGGGGGTGGAGAGGTGGGGAGGGGGGAGCCCCTTGATTATTTTCCAAAAAGAAAGAAACTTTTTGCCTTATTGGTGAGCTCAAAACAACGTATTCTTAAAGACCGTTCAGATTTCCTTAAGAACGTGTGTATAACCTACAACCGGTGTCTCCGAACTTGTACGAAAAAGTTTGCATAACTACTTAGAGCTGCAGCGTATTCTGATGTAGGTCTGTAGGCACACACGGACTTGAGGCTGTAAGATCATTAGTCTGCTGCTGAAATGATTGATAGTCCTGTGCTTTTTAAATTTACAACTATTCAGAATCTATAAAAATTATAGCAGCTGCTTTGCTGGGTCAGATTACTTGATAATCAGTGCCTAGATGGATTTTTAAACACACATTGAGGATCACAGCTGGGAAGCACAGAGGCACCCCTTCTTTTGGCTCCTCAGACTACCTTTGAAAACTTACGATTGTTTTGAATCCCGAAAAGCCAAACGCCTTCGATACAATCATCATGGGGGTGAGCTTCAGGGTTTGGAATCGGCTGCGTGGTTCTTGGTCGTTGGGGGGGGCGCGGACACGTCCAGTGTAAACACGGAGCTCTGTGTGCAGCACGTGGGGCCCGGTGGACCTGTGACCGGTCAGAATCTCTCAACGTGAACCAGCCTCTCTGAGACCACCTGGTCCACTGCCTGGTTTCTCACGTGAGGAAGCTGAGGCCCCCGCGTGAGCAGAACCCCGATTCCCGTGCCCCCGGTTCAGTGCTCACTCTGGGCCGCAGCGCTCACCCGCGTGGACCTCTTTGTTCGCGGCGGCACGGGAGCGAGACGCGGCCAAGCTGGCATCTGCTTCGGAGAGCGAGGTCACGTGGCGCTGCTGCAGGCCTCCCTTGCCTCTCTGATGCGGTGCGAGCCGGAGGCGTGGGCTGGGGCCCGGCCTTGGCGTGTGCCCCCGCCCAGGGAAGTGACCTCTGGCAGCTTCAGGGCCCCCTGGTCCTGGGTGCGCAACACTCACACTCTTCTTCCCGGAGAGTTCGGGCCAGAAGAGTGAACTGTGGTTCACTTGGGGTTTTTGTTGTTGTTGTTATTTTGAAGGGGTGGGGGAGGGGGGCAGAGAAAAGTATAGTTTTATCTCATTTCTTTCTCTAAGGGGCCTGTGGAATCTAATGTAGCTTAATTTTATCAAGTGTTGGGATAAAACCTAACCCCGGAAAACTTGACCTTAATCCCCATCTGTAAAATTGTGTCCTGCTGATAGACGTTCTCGTTTCCTGGGGACAGTGGACCGTGTGTCTGGTGAATTTTTCTTTGTTTCTGTTGATTTACCTTCCTCCTTCTCCGCCTTTGGGAAACAAAGTTAGTGATCCCAGTTGAGAGAGGACGTGAACTAGATGGCTTTTCATACCCACCCGTACACCGATTTGAAAGATATTTTTAACTATCCATTCGAAGTGTCAGAGAAATATCAGGGTATTGGTTGTCACCACAGAAAAATAATTGGTTCCAAGATCGAGGAGCCCAAGGCCACAGGCACAGTGCCAAGACTGCAGACGTTGGAACAAGCATCGGAATTGAGGCTAAGGTGTAAAACAGACGTCAGAGCAGGTGGGCTCCTGCTGTGGGTGCTGAGAGCCGGTCAGAACGGTCTGGAAAGAAAGAAACCCTCCTACAATAAGACATGGAATGAATGTGTGGCTCGGAGTCCAGATTTATTGTCAGAAACTGGTGAAATGTAAGCAGCAATTTAATAATATTTGTGGTCTCTCTCTTCTTGTGTAAATAACCTGTCAAGAGTAATGTCCAGTCCAATGGCCATATTTGGAAATAAGCAAATATCCATTTCTTGTCTGTCGTTAGGTCTTTGTGTAATCCTTCCAACTTATATAAATGGGGCAGCACAGGGTAATATAAACAGCTGTTTTAAGACCTATGTGCTTGACCAGATCCCAAAATGTCTGCATTGTAACTCTGACAGGGTCATAGTTGTTTGTAATCAGCAGAACCAAGTATATTAATACATAGCAGGGGTAAGCGTCTCACTGTCCAGCCTCATCCCTTCCTGTGAAATTACTCAGACTATGAAGTAAGATGAGTATGTTGGCTCCTTGCATGCCATCGCTGGCAGAGCCATGGACAAGCCGCTTCTAGAAGAAGCAATAGCCCTTGAGAACCACGGAGGGCCTCCTAGGCTCCGCGTCGGGCCCGGTCTCTCTCTCCGACAGACCCGAGTGGCTGCCACACGGGACCGTGGTTTCCTCACGTGCTGTTCCAACTGCGGAGATGTTTGCTGTCGGAGGACTTTGCTGGGAGCTGGGGGGCCGTGTGTCAGGCGTAGGGCCCGTTTCCAGGGGTTGACATGGCAGCCACAAGAAACCCCAGTGACGCTGAACTTTCCCAGCTTGGTGTGGGTATAGCCGGAGCCTGACCTGAGCCCGGCTAGGAGCCGAGTAGGACCAATGAGAGAGACGAGTCCACGTCCATTTCCTAACTGACCAAATAAAATCCAACCTATTTAGTGGCAGTGAAACGTCATTGTAAAAACATGTGTTTAAAGAAATCACGGCGGACTCTTTTTATAGCGTAGTATTGACTGTCTCCTTCCTGTTCAACAGAACATCGCATTTTCCCTCAGCTCCTGAGGCCGAGGTCTCTGTGACAGGTCGCCGCGCTGTTTCATCGCACACACGGTCGCGGGCTCTCGTGGGCCATCCGTGGGTGATCCTCAGGTACGGAAAACGATGACAAAGATCCGAAGCCAGGGTCGGATCGCAGCATTAGCATGTGAGTGACTTGTGTGTTGTCCCGGTTTGTTGACTCATGGAGGGAGCTGTGCTGAGCAATCCTGACCGCCCCAAACTGCCCGCCAGTCCCGGGGCAGGCAGCCCGGGAGCGGGGCTGACCGTGCGGGCAAACACTCCGATCGGAGCTCCAGGGCGCACACGGTGCTCCAGTTCTGCCCTGGGAATCCTGGAGGAACAGAACTTCTGTTTTCAACATCTCCGAGGCACGAGACCACTTGCTCCCTTTCCGAAAACTCACTCCTACTGTCGGGGCATCTCGGTGGCTTCCCGCGACCCGAAAGAGGAAAAGGACACTATTGGGTCCCCGAGTGTTCTCTTCTCCAGGGAAGTCAGCCAGCTCCTGGCAGCCAGCGGCAGACAGTGTAGCAGCAG